CAATCAAGGAAGTACCAGAGGGAAAAAATAAAACAAAACAAAACCCCCAGCCCCACCAACACTGGCAGGGCAGGCCACTGTATATAAACAGAGAGCAAACCCCATCCCACTCTAGCACTGAAGATGTGACCTAGCCGGGTAACGAAAGATCTGCAAGAAAACAGCCAAGCTCAGAGAACCCCGAGGACTCCACAGCATACAACAGAGCTGGAAAAGGCACAATGATTATCTGGGGGCTCAAATGCTCTCCTTACAAGACATGATGCCTGGCAAGGAGAAAGTGGACAAGGAGAAGTCCTCCCCCTCTCTCAGGGACCATCCAATAATGAACGGGTCGGAGGGAGACTCAGAACAGACCAAAGGAAGCTCTTCTTCATACATCATGTAACCAACTGGTGGAATTCATTCCAGCCGATCTGGCGGTGGTCAGTAACTTGGATGACTTTAAAGGAGGGCTGGATCAATTCAAAGAGAATCATCACCCCTCCCGTATGGGGCAGCCTCCCTCCATATCCTAGTCCCAAGGTACAGCACTGTTGCCCCTTTCTGCTTTAGGACACCATGGCCTCCCTGAGAAATCAATCAGATGCTGGACTACACCGGGCCTTGGCCTCATCTTATCTTCTGATGACCCCTGGAGAGAGGCTGACCTTGATGCCGGACAGCATGACGGTGACCAGGTAGTAGTCTGGCAGGAGCAAGGCCCGGACCACGCTGCCATCCCGGACGTGTTCAATGATAGCTGCAAAAAAGAAACGGGACATTCGCTGCCTGAGCAGACCCCTCCCTCCCCCTTAGGTGGGAGCAAAAGCAGCAACCCCACCCAAGCGAGCCCCACCGCAACTACTTCAGGTAGCTGTGCTCCTCTGCAAAACGGCCAGATGTCAGCTGCACCGCCAGAACGGAGGACTCACCATTCACAGGCTTCTGGTGCATGGAATCCACAAAGTGCCGGGGATTCTCAATGGCGTACTTGAGGTCTCGGACTGTGTGCGACCCAGTTCCTTCGCTCCACATTCCCTTCTTGGCTGTCTTGGCCTGTTCTTCCAGTTCAGCCAATCTGCTCTGTTCAGGACTGAGAGGAGAAAAGTCCTCCGTGAGGTGGTGCCTCAAGGCAGCAACGAGGGCAGAAGATCCCACGGAGTCTGTCGAATACAGCCCCCCCCCCCCCCCGTGCCAGGCGGAAAGGACAGACTAGCGAAACTCCCAGCAAGGCTTCCTGGAGTTCCAGCTTTATCTGGGGAAGCACTGTGGAATTACTCCTTGGGTTTCATCTTGTCCTCCACACCTTTCCAAATCTACAAAAAGATGCACATTTTGCACCCGGGAACCAATGGGGTCAGTACGCAAATCTATCTGCTCTCTTTATATGACTGAAAGGATATGCAGATTTTGCACCTACTAAGCAGTAGATCAGAGGTGGAACAAGAAACTGGAAGTCGGTCTTGATTATACTGGGAGCCTCCTGACAAGATTTGCACCTGGGATGCTCAGAGTCTCAGTCCTATTACCGACAGCCTCCACATTATGGAGGCCTTTCCCAGATCCTATTCTCTCTGCACCCGTGTTCTCAGCTTCAACTGTTGCAGCACCTTGATGAGGGAGGCCACCTTAGGAAAAATACGTGGACGCACCATTTTGTTCCACCCCCTGGGAACGCTCACCCTGGATTGTGGCTCGCTTCCAAACTCCTTAATCTTCACAGGCCCTGCAGCTTTTGAACAAAGCTAGCAAGGCAGGGACCCCAAGCCTCCCTCAATTATAGGGGGAGGGGCAGCAGAAGCAGCCAGCCACCCGTTGTGCAAAGGACTGTCATCCTCTTGGAAAGGCAGCTGTTCCTACCCACAGTCTGTCTCGTATCCACCTCAGAGCAGGACCTGCAGGGGGCTGCTGCAATGATTCCTATGGGCTTTTCATAGGGAGGAGAACATCCAGGGGGCTGGCAGAGGGGGAACTGCAATTCTTCGCACCCCACCCCTGAAGCTGGCAGCAGAGCTACTCCAACAAGGCCACTGCCCACCTACTGACAGCCCACCGTGACGACACGAGATGGGATGCGAACGGCTTCTCAACATTTGCCACATGCCTGGAAAAGGCCCAGCCAGCTAGGGGTCATCCCCTTCTCTGCACGTTCTGGGGCATTCAGGCCTTGGGGAGCAAATCACCCACACACAGCCCCGCCTTCTCACTGGGTGTTCCCCATCCGCCGCCTCTGTGAGCTTCCAGGACTTGAGGCTCTTCTAACCCTTTTGTGGATCAGCAGGCCCAATGGGCTGCTCAGGCACTCGATGCTCTCAACGGAGACAAGGTGGGTGCAGCCTGAAGGGCAGCTCGCTTAGTGTTCTGGCAGACCACCACGGCCATCTCAGGGGGAAGTCCAAGGGATCTGCTGGGAGCCCCCTTCAGTCAGCGAACTTCAGCAGCACTGGCAGCCCAGCCAAATGCATCTGGGCGGACAGCTGCCCCAAACAAGGAGCACGGATTCTCCTGGCAGCCTGGCACCCTTCAGCCAACTTCCCTCTCTGGTCCTCCTGACATCCAGCCTGACGGGGAACATGTCCCTCCTCTAAGGGGATCCTGTCTGGAGCAGCCCTGCAGACGTGCTTCAGGAAGACCAGAGCTGTGGTCACAGCAACACAGGACCAGATTACAATAAACTAGATCCTTCCTTCCTTCCTCCCTCCCTTCCTCCCTCCCTCCGGTAGCAAAGGGGCAAGACTCTACCCAATAACACTAGCAGTGACCCAAGGGGAAGGGCCCGCCTTTGAAAACTTGGCTCCCAGGCACACCTGCCGGCAAGATGCTGCTAAGGATTGCAGACAAGCAAGAGCCCGAGTGGAAAGGCTCTTGCTTGTCTGTGCTCCTTAGTAGCATCTTGCCGGCAGGCGCACCTGGGAGCTAAGTTTTCAAAGGCGGGCCCTTCCCCTTGGGTCACCGCTCAGACTCAAAGCAGACCTACTTATTGGCCCGGATTCCTTCCCGGCGACAGGCCAGCCCTTCTGCCACAAGTGATTCGGCGATGTTCTCCCCAGCTGTGTCTGCGATAAAGAAAGCAGAGTTAAGGAAACAGAAACACAGCACCCGGCTTGCAGTGAGGATGCAAGGAAACCCCTCGGGCTCCCTCCTCCCAGCAGCTAGCACAGCGCGCAGTGCAGAAGCCGCGTCCTGTCATTAAGCATCACAGAAGGCGTCTTGACTGACATCACACAAACCCAGAACACGGAGAAGCAGATCCCAAAGTGTTTTGGGGGAGAAAAGGCTGCCTTGGCTAGGTCCTCAGCTCCTCTGACTCAGAGGCTGCAGCAATGGGCTCTTCCTGCTGTACTCTAAGCAATTAGCAGACTGGCAGATGGAAACCCCCTCCCCATCAGGCTCCACAGTGATCTCAGGCCCTGACTTCCCAAAGTTTAGTTTCGCTGCAAGGCTTGGATTTGCTGCAGTCTCCCAGACACTCAACGCAGAGCAGCTGGAGGGTTCGAACAACTGACTGTATTGGTCAATTGCCCTGATCCTATGACTCTGGAGGATGTACAAGAGTGAAACAAACAGAAATCATACAAAATTAAATAATTAAAAATACAAGAGAAAAGTACACGTATAGAGGAAGGCCTTCCGCCCTCTGTAGACAAAAACGCTTGATTTTTTAAAAAGGGGTTTTCATGTTCTTCCAGGAGACAAGAAAGGAGGGTGACACCCGAGCCTCCAGGGGAGATCATATTCATGACATAAGGGCCTTCTTAGGCCTTCTCAGACGCCCAAACCAAACAGGCAGGATTGTTTGGGGCAAGATGGTGCCTGACATCACCTGATGCTACCCACCTGCGGGGCTTCACAAGTAATGTGAAGTAATTCTTCCCTTTTATTTTTGTGAATTTGTATTGTTATAGGTTTTAATTGTATATTTATTCATTGTTTTAACGTGTTGTGAGCCACCCAGAGTCCCCCATTGGGGGGAGATGGGCGGGGGACAAATGTAATAAATAAATAAATGACCAGCACTCTGAATTGGGCCCAGGAGCTACCAATGCAGCAACCTCAGAATTGGTATTACTCTGCAGCGGTAGGGTTGCCCTACCGCTAGTCTGGCCACCGCACTGTGACTAATCGGAGCTCCTGGGTCGTCTCCAACAGAGTGCATTGGAGTAGTCCAACCACATGCTGATCAGGACCTCCTGGTTGAGGCGAGGCTGGTGTCCACCTGTTGTTTAAACAGGAGCTATAAGAGCAGAAGAACCCCAAGTGGCAGGCCAACTCCTATCCAGAACTAATCCTGGGACCATTGCCCCCGGACGGCCACAGTGTTTACTGAGGAAAAGCATCTCAGTCTTGGAAGGCCTTCACTCGAGCTTGCCTTACTCCGTGCGGACGCCGGTTCAGGCTGACCTCCTCTGGCTCAGCACAAGGAAACAACGCAAACCGAGTCATCAGCCTGGGATGACGCTTGACCCCCAGTCAGAGGAGGACCTCGCCCAACGGCTTCCTATGGATCTTAAACAGCATGAGGGAGAGGACCAATCCTCGCAGCACCCCCTAAAAGACTGGCCACAGACTCAAGTACGGCTGCTTTAAGATTACTGACTAGACCGCTCACCAGGAGCAAAACCCCTGTAAAAAGGTGTCCCCCACCCCAAAACCTTGTAGGCGGTCCAACAAGATACCACAATTAATGGTACTGAACGCCACTGAAGGGCCAACGGAAGCAAGGCCCCACGCCCGCCTGCCCGCCCTCTCACCTTTGCCCAGGTACACCATTCCGTACTCCCGCCGGGGAGAGGTCTTGTATTCCACTGAGAAGCAAACATCCTTGCCGATGAGCTTCTTCCTCAGAAACTCACGAGCCGGAAATGCCCAAGGCTGGCAGAGGAAGAGGAGACCCAATGGTTAGCCAGAGCGGCCCACGCAAAGCTGACCCTCCTTCCTCATTGCTGCCCCCCGGCGGACAGTCTCCTGATCCCGGACCACTGTGCCCTCGGCCTCACGCCGTCAATGGCAAAGGCCTTCTCTGTCTCCTAAGACCTTCCCTCTCCCCAGTTTGGCAGCAGAAGAGCAGGCAAGCCAGGTGCCTATTACCCAAGCCGGGTTGGGCGAGAGTGGCAACATCATTCTCTCAGAGACTTGCCCTTCTCATGGGTTCTGGGTCCCTCATCAAGTACAATGTCGGGTGGGGGGGTGAAGGAGTCCACACCCATGACCAGGGTTCTGCTTGTGAGGTGACTGCCTGTGCGTTAAAGCGGGCCCTGGGGACAACAGGGGGCCCTACAGGCGGCAGCTGACCCAGGTTCCTGCTACAGGGTTGTTCCAGGTAGCCACTGGCCCACCACATACATCTCTAGATGCACCACAGAGAGTTTCTCCTCAGCCTGTTAACACGGAAGCCGTGCTTATTTCTGGTTTCTCTGCTCCTCAGTATGAGTGTGCACAAATAATACTTGTGACACAGAAAAAGGCACATGTATAAGCAGTCCCAGCCCCACCCAAACCTAAGTCCACCTCCGTTTGTAAATGCTCCAGGTATCTTTTAAGGGTCAACTCACCCGGCAACTAAAACTAAAACCCAACAAGGGATGGCCTCGGCCTCTCTGGCACCCGAAGGCCCCAAACAAAAGTGGCCCCTTCTCAAAGGAGCCCCAGGGCAAACACACGGGCTCAGCTCTGGCCTGTGCGCCTGGGCAGCCTATGGCTGCCGGCTCCCGGGAGCTTCCCAGCGAGCCTCAGCCAGAGGCAGCTTTGGTGACAGGAGCCTGACAAGCCCCAGGCCGGGGGGCTGGGTGAGGAACTGGCCTGCTTTTCGAGCCCTGTGGTCCCAAGGGGGGAACCCTCTGCCTCACTGGGCTGGATCAGGGTTAGGGCAATGCCTCTGCTCTCAGATGCCATCCTGGAATGCTACCAAGGACGCTGGTGGTGCAGGGGTTGGGACCCAGGGACCAGCCCCTACCTCATCAGGGGTGTCTTTGCCATCGGGCTGCCCCGCAGCTGCTCGGCGTGCAAGATTCCCAGCGCGGATGTTGCTAAGGTTGATCTGTCTCTCAGGAGGTGGACCTCCACGGGGCTGGCCCCGGACGATGATGGCGCAGCCCGAAAGGACCTGGCGAGGAAAGAACGTGGGCGTTAGGGGCAGCAGCCAAGGAGCAGCGGCCTACCACGCAGCCTAGTGGAATCCTGCTCCACAGGAGGAGAAATCTGTCTCACAGGCCACGGCAAACTAGCGGGGGAGTCATCCCCCTTCCGGCCCCACCGCCCCGGAAAGCTGTCTTTGTGAAAAGGCACTCGCACTATGCGGCGTCCACGAAATGCATTCGTGCAAATCCAGCTGTTCTTCTGACCCAGCACGGAGGCGGAGCAGAGGCAAGAAGGGTCTGCGGGACCTCCTCTCGGCTCTCGGCCACCGGCCCTTCTCATGTTTCGTCGTGGCAAACCGCATCCGTTAGCCACAACCGCGCAGAGTCCCCGGTCACCAGACGGAGCCAGAGCCGTGCCGAAGGACGCAGACGGCAAGCTGGAAACTGCCCGGGGCGCCTTCCCACGGAGACGTGTCCAGGGGAGCCACTCAAGCGCACGGGACAACGCGCCTGGCGGGAGAGGAGCGCCGAGAGGAGGCCCCGGCGGCTCCGCGGGGCTCCCGGGGCCGCGGCCAACTCCAGGGTGAGGCTGCTCGGCGGCTCCCGCTCGAGCGCAGCCGCCGGCGCCCCGCGGGGTACTCCTGCTAAGCCGCCGACTGCGAGCGGCGGCGTCCCTGAGATCCAGCAACTTCCAGGCCCGCTTCGGCGCCGCCAGCTGGCCTCGCGAAGGGGAGGCTGATTTCAGCAGGCGCGCCCCGGGGCTCAGTCCAGCGGCCCCGGCAGCTCCGCAGGGAGGGCCCGGCGCGGTCCGGACGCTGGAGCAGCCGCGCTGCCCGCCGGCCCGAAACCGGCCACGACCTCCGGCGCGC